TAAAGGTAATAACTAAGTATTATGTTAGTTATCAATTATTATCCTAATTATATTTTAGATTTTTTATATTTAAAATGAGATGTTTATCAAATATTTGATTATGTTTATCTGTAATTAGTTAGACAAATTCAAGTATGGAGCTTTAATAAGTTGTAATTACGCACAATTTACTTGTAATCTTAAATTTTAAGTAATATGCATCAATAAACAGTACTTCATGCATAAAAAATCATTTTTAAGAGTTTTTGTCAAATATTTTATAATATAGTATAGATATATATATGTATATATATATTTAAAATAATATAACAAATTTATTTGATTTCAACAATTTCAATACATGTATATTATTTAGTTACTATTATAATTTGAATTATCTATAGGTTTGAAAATTATAAAATTTGCTATATTTTAAAACATTTGACAAAAATTCTTAAAAACCATTTTTTATGCGTAAAGTACTATATATTGATGCATATTACTTAAAATTCAAGATTACAAATAAATTATGCATAAGTACAACTTATTAAAGCTCCATGTTTGATAAACATCTCATTTTAAAATATATAAAATCTAAAATATAATTAGGATAATTATCGAATTCTAACAAAATAATTAATTATTATCTTTATAAGAAAATTATATTATTAAACAAAATATAAATTACTTCGTTATTGACCATAAATTAAATTATAGTGAAAAATTGAATTAAAAAATTACACAAAAAATAAGAATTTTAAATAATTAATTTGATACTAATATCGAAATATTTTTGTCAAATCTTTATGATATCTTCAATTTTATATTTTATTTAAAAATAAAAACATTATCGTTTTTTTCGAAATCACATAAGACCATACTATAACATCGACTGAGATAAAGAATAAAGTGAAATATTAAAATCAAGATGTATCTCGCTGCATTGCACGAGTACCCTTCTAGTTAACATAAATAATCGTATATCAACTAAAAACCCTTAAAATAACGTTTCTTTTTTTACAAATTATACCAATTATAATCGTCTCGTGAATGCCTTCAAAACGAGTTCAACATTGTAATTTTGTATTTAATCATACTATATGTACGTAAAACAAGATCGTCGTTTTGAGTTCTCGACTTCATAATCAAAATGATTTATGCGACATCGCACACGAATATATTACTAATTATAAAAAAAAACAATTATTTTATTCTATTTAATTAGACACTTATATTATTAAATTAAAAAAACATTAAAATGTGTATTTTAAAATGTTCACTGCTATATCTATATGTAAACATTACCATGTAAAAATATGATATGTTTGTGAATTTATTTTTGTTATTAACTTAAAAACTATAACTTCAATATTTAGGGGTGTTTGGGATTGTTTATTTGAAACAACTTAGGGGGCCGTTTACTAAACGCGTACTCGATAAGTGCTTACCGAATAAATTTCCTTATCGGATGGACATGACAAAGGCCAAGAATCTTACCGGGTAAGAGCGATGAGAATGATGGAGAGTCTTACCGGTAAGTGAAGATTACGACTCTTACTCAGGTAAGTGCTTACCTGGTAAATTGTTGCATTCAATACGTTTTGATGTACTAAAATCTTACTCATCAAAATAAATTATAGTGTTGACTCTTGTAGGTAAACACTTACCGAGTAAGCATTTAGGTAAACAACCCCTTATACTTTTCTACAAAAGCACTTATCAACTTATTATAAGTCAGAAAAGTTTAACTTATTCAAAAACTTCTTATCACCGGTTTTGCATCGGTATTAGTTATTTATCCAAACACTAAAAAATGTTTATTACCGGTGTCACACCGAAATAAGTCAATAAGTTATTTTTATAAGCAATCCCAAATACCCCCTTATATATAAATATAATTTAACAGAAAAACCTTCTTTTAACAATCTATTAAATTATAATAAATTTGAGAATTTATGTATTATGTGTTATTTTATATATATTTTAATTAAATACTAGAAATTAAAATACTAATTAATATATATTTGTTTTATAATATATTCGATTTATATGTATTTGGCTCATAATATAAATTCGTAATGACTGAGGGGGTCGAAAACTAAAAAGTGAGTTATTTATACAAAGCATTTTTTATTTATAAAAAACTTATGCTGTTAGAATATGGATATACAATGACTTTAATGCCCTTTGAACTTTTCTTTAACTACTGGCCCAAAAAATAAGGGGTAACACGTGGCTGAAACTATGTATCTATACTTGTTTAGCTTATCTATATTATATTATAAAATATTTAATAAAAATTCTTAAAACTAATTTTTTATATATAAAGTATTGTTTATCAATGTATGTTACTTAAAATTCAAGATTACAAATAGATTGTGCGTACGTACAACTTATTACAGCTTCATATCTAAATTCGTGTAACTAACTGCAGATAAACATAATCAAATACATGATAAACATCTTATTTTAAATATAAAAATTCTAAAATATGATTACAATAATTAATAAGTTCTAACAGAATACTTAATTATTATATTTATAAAATGTTATATTATTAAACCAAAAATAAATTATTTCATTATTAAACTTAAATTCAATTATAATAAAAAAATAAATTAAAGAAATTACATAAAAAAATGAGAACTTTTAAATAGTTGATTTGATATTAACATTCATATATTTTTTTTCAAATTTTTTTATTATAGTTTCAAATTTATATTTTATTCAAAAATAAAATCATTATTATTTTATTAAAAACACATAAAATTGTATTATAACATCGACGGAAACAAATAATAAATTATAACAGTAAAATCGATATATATCTCGCTTCATTGTGCGAATACCCTTCTAGTTTTTATTAAATGATTGGGTTTTTATAAAAAAAAGAGTTATGATGAGAATGTAAAAAGATAACATTTTATCAACTTTTAACTATTATGATAAAAAAAATTTAAACGTATATAAAAGTTTGTGATAATGATCATAAATGATGATAAATATGAAGATTAAAGTAGTTGACGATGGTTAAATGTAGTCGATGGTATATGAAGTTGGCTCAGAAAGTCAACCAATCTACAGACTTCGAAATTTTCTCATCATAACTGTTATTTCACATGATTTCACGTCTCTCTCTATGACTTATCATGTTAGAATCAGGAAAAAAAATTATAAAACGTAAATACTGTTGCATCATGTGTTATAAGATTTAAGACGAAGGATCATATGAGAATAAAAGTATATGTGAAAATTGTGAGAAGAAATTTGGACCATTGATCGTAGAAAAAAATCAATTCAATTTATCTCATTAGTGTTAACTTTAATTCTCAAAAAAAAATATTACTTATATTTTTTTGTTTCAGAAACATATAAAATAAAAAGTATAGGAACAAGTACTATCTAGGGGGTGTTTGAGATTGTTTATTTGAAACAACTTATTCTTTAAAAATAAAAAAATCTTATCAACTTATTATAAGTTAAAATAGTTTGATTTTTTTAAAAACTTTTAATTACCAAATTGTCATTGATATAAACTATTTATCTAATTATTCAATAGTGCTTGTGACTGATATCATTCCCAAATATCAATATCTTGTTTAGAAGCCATCCCAAACACCGCCAATTGCTATTTGTAACCTGAAGGAGGAAAGACTTTTGGAAGTTTCTCAGATATTTTGCACTCTAGTTTCGTAGGCAATAGCCAAGTAAGAAATGAGTGGAGTGGCAGCTTCTCCATGGATTTTGGGTACTTTTCTTCTTTCATCGTCTTCATCCTCACTTGCTATGGAATTCTCAACTTCACCGGCTACTTCTGGAGGTGGTGCGGTGTGCCGATCTCATTTCAGACAACCGAAAGACCTCAAATTTGTACTCCATGATGCTCTCGATTCTTCTGGATTCAACACCACCTATGCTAGGGTATTTCCTTTGTGTCAATTCGATCTTCTGTTCCTTTTGTTTGTTTTTATCATATTATAAAGCCTAATTTGACTTGCTATTCACTTCTTCATAATGATATTATATTATGTTTGAGAAATCTGTTCGTACGGGATTTATTTTAGGTAACGGTTCTCAAGGGAATGCATGTATGGTGAACATAATAAGTAATACGGAAGATTGTTGATAAAGATTTTAACTAATAAGTTCATATGTATTAAGGAAGTTCTAATTTGCTCGATTCTCGAGAGTTAAGAGTTCAAATATCTGAGCCTTTCGCATGCAGCTCGCAAAGGGGATGGTGACTTCTATCTAAATACGACAGGTCTCGGGTTCAATCCCTGTCCCGCTAGCCTAAGCCGATGAGTGAGCCAAAAAATACCCCTCACGGCGTCACATTGGGTGAGGGTGTGAGGCTGGTTAGGATTGCTGGTAATCAACTTTTTGCGCAAAGAATTCAAATATATGATTGTTTTATTTTATGTAATTAGTGTTAATGAGATATATTACATCCGTTTGGTTATTCAGAGATAGAGGAATGCTTGTGTTTTTTAGAATGTTCATCTGATGCATTTTCTGATCTATCCGTTTTTATCTTTATGGTTTACATGTTAGATTGAGACACTTACCTTAATCATTGGCTTGCTGATTAACATGGATGTGGGTTTTCACTCTTGAGAAAAACCATTAATATTATTTACCAAGCCGACTTTTGATCATATGAAAACCAGGCTACAGTATGTTCAGATTATATACGCTTGGGGTTTTGTATCCAACCAACGACCCTGGTTATTGAGAAGAGAAATGAATCATCTGTTTCTCTTGAATTGAAATTACATCCAACCGGATAAAATGACTTCAACAATACAAGATTAGGAAAAGTTCTAGAACCATTGTCTGATTTCCTATGATATGTAACTTATTTGATTCTAAATATGACACACACTCCTCTCCTATCTTTTTGAGAGCTGCCATGGGCGTTTTGCTTTCCTTGATAAAGTGACTATCCACCTGTGTGTGTTTTGTGCAATCAATGTTAATAGTTGATTTGTTGGCACACTAGAGTCTGAGTGGGCCTTGCCATTTAACCTATTGAGTTCTTCGATATTCTCATCCATAAGAATTCACAAATTCAAAGTGTTATTTCTCGAATTCAATACTTTGCCTCCACCTCTTATACCTCTATGTAATTTGGTTACCACCTAAGATTGTGTAATAGGCCGACAGATCTCATGTCGACTATGGATCCTGCAAAGTCAACATTTGTATAGACTTCGCAACAGTGACACTTGTATTGCCTAAGCATGGCTAAGGAAATACGGGACCTTGTCGAACTAACTTATTGAAAGGTTCATACACTTATGAGATCAAAGGCAAATCTCACCCACAAAGCATGGAGCTGAAAAATTCGTGAGTATTCCAATATCAATAAAAGGTTTATGGCAGGAGATGGATCACTATTAATGCATTCAGATTAGATGCAGCCATTGTGAAGAGGTTTGTTGAGGAAGACGAATATATGACTTCCTTTTAGGACTAACTGTGGAATATAACCCCATATGATTACAGATACATGGGAAGGAGAATTTGCCATACCGAATGAGGCGATTTCAATAGCACTAGCTGCAGAAGTAAGAAAAGGAATAACGATTGAGTTCAACCAGTGGCAGGTATGGCCCTGTTTTAAAGACAGAACAATGAAGTATCAACAACCTTTACCAAGTCATGGGTGAAGAAAAATATGAGAACATAAGGGAAAGGATAAAAGGCGTCTTATGAGGATTATGGGAGGAAAAAAAGCAATGAAGGCAACGATCTCAAGGAAGTTCAAAGAGTCAAAGAAGCTGACAATGAAGGCCAAGAAGGATATTTGAAAGAAAGTCATGTAGGCTCTGATACCATGAAAAGAGGAATGAACTCAACAATCTGCTTCTTATTGAATATAGTTGAGCACAAACCATTTATACAGTGGGATACGAAAAAGTATTTATAGAAGTTGTTGAATAGTTTCCTATCCTTGGTATATTTGTTCTAAATAGTAAATAGTAGACATAAATACGCACATAATGATTATGACAAGTTTCCTAAGTAGTAATTTTGCTAAAGTTACTGCCCAGATTTTCCAACTGGATTGAATCATTTATTGGCTTTATCCTGGTAGGTGAGGCAACTGCTGCGTTGTATGTTGTTACAATATAATGGGTGCCCTGTTGTCCTTCTTGATAGTCATTTTCGTAATTTTGTTTTTCAGGGTGACACATTTCTGCTGGTTTCACTGATTGGTTAATATATGTGTTAATGTGTTGTACTGCCAACAGAAAGCAAGGGAGGGGTTCTTCTCACAAATCAGGAAGTTGTCTGATATAGAGAGGGAAACAAGCATAATCATCAACGGAGAGGTTGACTTAGGGAAAACCGCCCTTCACATAGCAGCAGAGGATGATTCACTCATTTCTCATTCTTCTGTACCACTTCCCGTGGATGCTTTTATGCAGAGATTGGATGGTCTTTCTAGGGGTTATTGCTCACGCTACCATTCATCATTTAGATCATCTCCTGATAATTTTCTGGAGTGCCTAGAGAGATACATGTATGTTGACAAGGTATTTCCATCTCTATTATCTCAATTATGCTGAAAGTTAAAGATCTTTCCTTCACAAACTTAATTTATTTTTTATAAGATCTTCACCATCTCCTAGGTAAATAAAATCTTGAAGGAACATAAAAATCAAATATTTTGCTAAGAAATATATGATCCATATTCAAATATTTTGCTAAGAAATTAGCTTCTTCCTGCACAGTGAAGCATGAAAAGATTATGAAATTTAAAATGTGTTTAGTAGTAGATAGTGGACATTACGTGATATGTTTCCATGTCAAAAGGGCTTGAAATATTAATGTCAATCTTGATATACTTCTTTTATTGTTTGATTTTATTTAGGGTTTTCGACGGACCAACTCAAGCAATCAGTTGGAGCAACGAGCAGTTTATCTTCATTCAGTAGGAAGACTTCTTTCTTTGAAAAAAATTACGAAGTATTTTTACTGATTTCTGTGAAACGCTAAAGCATTATTATGTGATTATTTTCTTCTCAGGTTCTGACTCATCGTGTAGGCTCAATGTCTATGCTTTCACTGATCTATTCTGAGATCCTGAAAATGCTACGTTTGTGGGGTCTCCTCAATTTTGATGTTGAGATTTCTTCCCATAATGATTCTTATGGTTCTCCTAGAGGCTATATTAAGCAGAAAACTACAGAGTCTGATCAGCAACAAATCGTGACAACGGAATCCCTGTTACTGAAGGTGGCTCCTGTCTTTTATGTTGAGATATTCACCTGCAGGTTCATCTACTAATTTCTGTTTTGTTTTTATTTTTTCTAATTCTGCACTTTCAACCAAGTATGTCAATGGTACAATTAGTAAATGATGTAGTCAGATGTTAGGTAATCTTTCAATATTTGAAGCATCATATTGTTATTGTTAGGCAGTTTTTGTGATATAAATTCTTAAAGAGGGATCGGCAAAGTTTTTGTTTTGTTTTGTTTTTATAGTCGTTGAATTTAAATTCTCAGGTTATTGATAGGTGTGTGGCAGGATGTACCTTTGCGACAGACTTGTGAGCTAGCTTGTCAAAAAAATGGCAACCTCTGCCTTGTTTGAGCCCAAGCCAAGCTAACTGTATTCGTCTAACTAAAGCTGATCAGGAACCTAGTATCGCTCGAGCTCAGCAGAGAGCAAGTTGAGCCTATATGAACGACTTGGTGTAATTTTTTAACCTACCAACTGAGAAATCCGCTTGTGATTTTTATAAAGCGCTTATTGTAAGTTTCTACCAGGCCATATGAACATAGAGGCAACCTAGTCTAGTGCTTATACGAGCCTGTATGACCACATAGAAACCAAGCATAGATGAATAAAACTGGAGCTCGAGCTTTTGGTCAGCCATGCACAACCTTGAGTTTTCGAGTTTGGAGGCAGTAGCTGAGCCTGAATCTACCAATATTTTTTACTCCAGTACCTGGTGAATTGTAGTTCAACTAAATCTGCAATATCTACATAGCCTTTTTAGTTTCTTTTTCATTCCTTTCCTGGGTTATGTAATTCTTTTAATCTTGTTGCAGTCCTGATCAGCTAGACATGGACCATAAAAACCTGTATATATATTGGAAGTTGCAACCTTCCTCCTCTTTATAAGGGAGATTCAAAGGGCTTCCACATATCCTAACATGGTATCAGAGTTGGGGTCTAGCACCACTTAGGGACTCGACACACTATTTCATCTTTGTTTGAAGGGACATGTTGGAATCCCACATCGGTTAGACACTGACCATCAAAACCTGTATATACACCAAAGGGTCATTGGCCCAATGGTATCCGTGTTACCCGTAAATCCTAGCCTCCCCGGAGGTCAAGGGTTCAAACCTCAGCAAAGGTGAGGAGTGTGTGTGTGTGTGTGTATTTGCTGTATATAAATGTGGAATAGTGTACAAAATATATGTGGAATACTTCAAAACCTGTATATATGTGGAATCTCCCCCCCCCCCCCAAATTCTTTTAGAGAGATTTTCATAGGGTTTCCACGTACCCTAACATATCTTTTATATTAGGACAAAGACCTACGTCTTAAATGATGATGGATTATAGGTGTTTGATTAAATATCAAGGGTTGTGTAGAAGTAATGGTTTTACTCTTTTTTTATGTATAAAATATTTATATACGGCAAATGAACTCAATACACCTATGTTTTTACTCGTTCATGTGAGGTTGGAGGCAGTCATGCAGTTTATTGATATCTTTCTGGTACTATTCAGTTAAAACATGTTTGCATAATAGTGTACATGACGAGTTTTCACTTCCTTTTAATGCCATTTTTCCATTGACTGCAGTTGTTATTGGGAAAGGAGTAGGTATCTTCCAAGAACGTATCAGTATTAAGTAGCAATAAGTTAAGTTAGAGATAATAAGATAGATACGTAAGTTCAGTCAAACGGTTTTCATAGGTGTGGTACTTAGTACCAGATGGTGCGTGGCTGAAGGTCAATTGACCTCTTGTGATGCAATGGAGCACTCTAATTGACAAGACTTTTCCAAAACTCAAACAGTGCTTTTGAGAAACTTCAGGGTTTATCTCCAATGTGGAGCACTTTTGTTTGTTTCTTTGTACTATCTTTTACCTATCTTTTGCTAATTTTGGGTCAACAAAAAGTTGGGATTGGGCCATGGGCCATGGCTTTGTCCTTACATGCCACACTTGAGAATAGGAATATATAATGTTTAACTTTGTGTGTAGATCTTGAGAGATTTGAAGAATGCTTTCTGGCCATTTCAACTTGATCAAAGTAGAAGTCCATTTCTAAGAGCAGCAGAGGCTGCTTACTGCTCCGATAGATCAGCTGATGTTGACAAAAGGTCCTTAACTTATCGTTATGCAGCCTCTACTCTATCTTAGGTTCTCGGGTTGTTTAGGAGAATAACCAAAAGGTTATTTGAATGCATGACCTTCTGATAGATTTTAAATGATTTAAAATACACCAAAAGGTCATGCATCTAATAAGAATCTGCCAAAATGTTATTTTCCTAAATAACCCATCTTAGATATGGATTCAAGTTTCATCATAAGATGGCTTCTCCACACCTCCTTTTCTACACTCATCAACCCTGTGTTTTGTCTACTACAGTGGCTTGCAGCTTGCATCTGCAAAGGCTGCTAGGCATAGGCTAGAACGTGGAGTTTGGACCAGCGTACGGTTTGGGGATATAAGGCGTGCACTGTCTGGTATGTGGTTTCTGTTTTCTCCTGCCACTGATGAATTGATGTAATTTTGAACATGTGTTTACAAGGGAAAGTTCGTTTAAGAACCGTGAATAGTTTGGAACCGTGAGAACCAACTATTTATGATGAATATACCTAAATACTCGTGAATATTATTCATCGTGATATTCATGCATTTTCATTATTCATGATATTCATCACGAATATCTATCATGACATTCATCATGAATAATTGGTTCTCACGGTTCTCAAATGAACCTGCTCCTATGTTTATGAATATATAAATCTTGGTTTTCCATTCAGATTTACTTGGATTTGGGTTTGAATAGCTAAAGTTGGTGCATACTGCTTGCTATCCATTTGGTTCATTTGTCTATGGTCCAGTTTTCTTCTGTATCCAAACTAGGATGATTCATTGATAAAGATTTGATGGTAGTACCTTAAAGGGATTATTTAGCTAAATGACCACCTGGCAAGTGCTTTTTTAAATCCATGACTTTCTGACAGATTCCTAGGCATTCTTGTGTATGGAAATGACATCTTTCTGTTAAAGACTGACATTCTCAAACCTGTTATAAGGTCATGAATTAAATAAAAAACTTGGTAGAGGGTCATTTAACCAAAGGACCCACCTTAAAGAGGGTCACATTATAAGAGGCAGTATCAAATGAGAAGGAGGTCAATCTGCTAGAAGTTCTAAGATCACATGTGATGCAAAACACGTAATGACATGTGATACTGAACACGTAATCACATGTGATACTGACATGTTGCGTTGACCAGCCCGTAGCAGGAGACCTTTCCCGCGACCCTTGGCGACCAAGTCGCCTTGTTGTATCACATGTGATTTTGCTCTAAAATCACATGTGATCTTGAAACTTCTCGCCTTCTTGCAAATTTGACCGCCTTTCTCGTTTGATCTTGGCTCCACATTATAATGCTTCATCTATACTCATCTTTCACATGCTTGCTCCAGTTCAACCTTTGAAACAAAAGGAAAACAAGCTTGATCTGATAAATTCTTCATTGGCGTGTTTCTTTTTTCCTTGGATAGCATGCGAGCGACTCATTATTCTAGAAGCCGATTCAATGGAATTACGAGATTATGGCGTTCTCCTTTATCACTGTGGATTTTACAAAGAATCATTGCAATACCTCAAGTTATATCAGGATACAGAGGTACACTCGCCATACTACTAGTCGCCAATCGCTAACTAAATCAATCTTTAATTGCCTATTTTAACCGCAAGAAAGTTTGTGGCAGAAATCTACCACCATGAAACAGTTACAAGATTCCTTGAGAAAACTGGAGGACGATGCTGTAGAAAAGTTAATAATTCGGCTTAACCTCATCTTGATGGAAGACGATAATATTAGACCTTCATCCATCGCAAGTTCTTTATATAACAACACCGATCCTTGGTAACTAACATGTACTTCTGAACCTCGTGAACCGGGTTCTTGGTCTGGTCTGGTGATGTCAGTCTGGTCTTTTTCCCTGTATATACATATAGCGATCAAGAACCTCTTGTGGCAACTGCAAAGGGAATTATATGACGCCACACCTTTATACCAAGGTGTTTTTTACATGGAGCATCCAGATGTACGTTTGTAATATTTGTTAACGAACACAAGATAGACGTTTTGATGATCATATCGTTGTAAATAGTGTATATGGTAACTCCTCTTTGTTTGATGTTGTTTACATAGAGCATGTCATTTCATTAGAGCTCTTGGGTTCGTATTTGTTTAAGCCGATTGGCACCCTGTTCATGCCTTTGTTCGTGAAGATTAGCCGGGGCTTTGATTTCTACTAATTTTTTCAAAACTTATTAGAGGTCGGAAGGTCTGCTTCCACCTCAGGTGGGATATAGTTGGTTTGTCTGGTTTTGGTAATTCACATAACTCGTTAGGAAGGCTTGAACTCACAACCCAAGGATCATTATAGTTACGGCCGCCTTTCACCTTCGGGCTTCGGTGATCGGTTGTCGGCTCCCTGTGTCAATTGTGTCACCAACTTCCTTGACCTTCCAGTACTGGACATATGTCAGCCCTTGGAAATGTGAACATCATTATATCTATGCACACATTATCGGATTACGGGACCGTTTGGTTGGTTTTTCATCAAGTCCTGTATCAATAAAATTGTCTGTGTAGATTAATCTATTTGCATAAATTTAGAAAATTTTTGATTGGGAGAGTTTTTACACATATGGAAGAAATGTATTTTTTGATTGGGAGGGGTAGATTTGGAAAAAAAAAAACTTGGTTTTTTGCATAAAGTTTCTTTAAGAAGTTTACTGAATAAATCATTTTTTATGTCATTAAATTACTACTAAACAGTCATGTATAGCTGATCGAATAAGCTGTGAGTCTTATTAAGCTCGTTAAGTTGCTAATAAACGGACCCTATGACTTTGGTGTTATCACGATCTTCCCCTTGATTTCCAAGATGGTAGGTTCATGTCGTTGATTGAGATAGAATGAGTTCATACGAATTTTTGTTTTATGTCTCCGAGCGATAAAAGATGAGCAATCTGTCTTTTCAGAGGCATTGCCCCTTTTACTAATTCTAATTTTCTCAATGTATTTCGGAAAACATTTTGAATCAAGTCTTAGAATATTGAAGAAACCACATTGAAAATTCATCGGGCTGCTGATAAATCTATTTACACTATTTTATAAAGCATGTGAAAAAAACTTTTAAAAATCATTTTTATGCTTAAAGTATTGTTTATTGATGCATATTACTTAAATTAAATATTACAAGTAAATTGTACTTAATTACAATTTATTATAGCTCCATGTTTGACTTTATGTAACTAATTGGAGATAAACATAATTAAATATAAGATAAACATCTTTTTTTAAATATAAAAATTTAAAATGTCATTAGGATAATCATTGACTTCTAACATAATATTTAATTATTATTTTTATGTAAAATTATATTAAAATAAATTATAATAAAAAATTGAATTAAAGAAATTACACACAAAAACGAAAACTTTTAAATAGTTAATTTGATACTAACATCGTTATATAGATATATTTTTGTTCACAATTTTATGATATCTTCAAACTTATATTTTAGTAAAAAAAATAAAGACATTACCGCTTTCTCAAAACCACATAAAATCTTATTATGACATCGATATAGACAAAAAATAAAACGAAATATTAAAATCGAGTTGTATCTCGTTGCATTACGCAAATATCTTTCTAGTTATTATAAGAAGCTTCAGTCATTTAAATAAGTTAGATGCTCTAGTTTACGATATTAGAGTATCTCCACCAGATTCCACAAAATTTCTTCAGAATGGATAATCAAAAGTTAAAATTTCCAAAAAAAAATATATTTATCTCCAAGAGATTCTCATTTCAGAGAACCAAACATTGATTAAATATTAAAATATTATTTATCTCTCTTTATATTTATTTTCAAAGTTTCCTATTGGCACTCTCGCATGGTAATCATTTTTTGGGTGACGGAGAAAAAACTCCTCTTTCTTAGTTTCTCTATTTTGGAGATAGTTTTGTGAGAACTGTTGAAACAAAATATTTGCTCAAAATCCTCAGTTTCTTCATTTTTTTCATTTTGAAGAAGCTGTTGGAGATGCTCTTAAAAATTCTCTATATTTGGAGTTTTGTCCATAATTCTCTATTTTAGAAAATTCTCTTACCTTCCATCAGATTTTAAAGAATTCTTTAAACTTGAAGTTTTTTTCCCTTTATTTAAAAAAATTTAAAGAATCTGTTGGAGCAAAATATAGAACAAAATCTTCATTTTCTTTATTTTAGAGAATCTGTTGGAAATGTTTTTAGGAAAAAATAAATTATTTTATATTTTCGTATCAATGAGAAATCTTGAAATTAAATGGTTAAGTGGGAGAAATAAGATTTTATTAATTGTATTAAATATTATAATAATATAACTAATAATGTAATATGTAAAATGGAGAAGCTGTTGGAGCAAAATAGAATACAAAATCTCTATTTTCTTTATTTTAGAGAATCTGCTACAGATACTCCTAGAAAAAAGTAATTATTTTTTATTAGAAATCTTGAAATTAAATGGTCAGACGAGAGAAAATAATATCTTATTAATTGTATTAAATATTTTAAGAATATAAATAATATTGTAATCTCTAAAACGAAAAGTGTATCCGAAATGAAAACAAAATTTCCATGAAAAATTGACCTTTGATTCTTCACTCTTAACAATCTATTTGAGATGCTGTTAATAATTTGATTAAATATATATATTGATTTTAATGTTTCGTTTTATTTTTTGTCTGTGTTGATATTATAACACGGTTTTATAAGGTTTCGATAAAGCGATAATGTTTTTATGTTTGAATAAAATATAAATTTGAACATCTTATAAAAATTTGAAAAAATATATATATCGATATTACTATCAAATTAACTATTTAAAACCTTACGTTTTTTATAATTTCTTTAATTCAATTATTTATTATAATTTAATTTAGATTTAATCATAAATTAATTTATTTTCAGTTCAATAATATAACCTTTTATAAAGATAATGATTAAATGTTATGTTAAAACTCAATAATTAACCTACATTTATACTATCGATACTATATTATAAATATTTCACAAAACTATTAAAAACCATTTTTTATGTATGAATTACTGTATATTAATGTATATTACTTAAAGTTCAAGATTACAAGTAAATTATACATAAGTACAACTTATTAAAGCTCCATGTTTGAGTTTGTATAACTAACTGCAGATAAATATAACCAAATATAAGATAAACATCTCATTTTTTAAAATATAAAAAATCTAAAAGATAATTATCGAGTTATAATAAAATAATTAATTATTATCTTTATTAGAAAATTACTAAATTAACTGTATTTGATTGTGTTCCTAAATTAAATTATAATAAAATAATTAAATTAAAAAATTACAGAAAAATGATGAATTTTAAATAGTTAATTTGATACTAATATCGATATATTTTTGTCAAATTTTTATGATATCTTCAAATTTATATTTTATTAAAAAATAAAAACATCATTGCTTTCTCAAAATCACGTAAGACCATACTATAACATCGACTGAGATAAAAAATAAAACTAAATATTAAAATCAAGATGTATCTCGCTGCATTGCGCGAGTACCTTCTATTGCGCGAGTACCTTCTAATATTATAAAACATTTGACAAAAACTCTAAAAAATCATTTTTTATGCATAAAGTACTGTTTCTTAATGTATATTACTTAAAATTTAAGATTGCAAGTAAATTGTGCGTAAGTACAACTTATTAAAGCTCTATATTGAATTCGTATAACTAACTGCAGATAAACATAATCAAATACAAGATAAATATCTTATTTTAAATATAAAAAGTTTAAAATATAATTAGGATAATTATTGGGTTATAACAGAATCATTATCTTTATAAAAAAATATATTGTTAAACCCAAAAAATAAATTACTTTGCTATTAGGCATAAATTAAATTATAATAAAAAAAATTGAATTAAAAAAATTGTATATAAAATGAGAACTTTTAAATAGTTAATTTGATATTAATATCGATATATTTTTTCAAATTTTTATATCTTCAAATATATTTTTATTCAAAAGTAAAAGCATCATCTTTATTAAAACTATATAAACCGCACTATATCAATATAGACAAAAATAAAACGAAACATTAAAATTAAAATGTATCTCGCTGCTTTGCGCGAGTACCGTTCTAGTTATATTTTATATTTTTATATTTAAAATGACATGTTTATCCTATAATTGATTATGTTTATCTACAGTTAATTACACGAATTTAAAATGAAGCTTTAATAAGTTGTATTTATGCATAATTATTTATAATCTTGAGTTTTAAGTAATTTATACCATATTATAAAACATTCGACAAAAACTCTTAAAAACCATTTTTTATGCGTAAAATACTGTTTATTAATGCATATTATTTAAAACTCAAGATTACAAGTAGATTGTGCGTAAGTACAAATTATTAAAGCTCTATATCTGAATTCGTGTAACTAACTGCAGATAAACATAATCAAATAAAGGATAAACATCTCATTTTTAATATAAAAAATCTAAAATATAATTATGATAAATATTGAGTTACTAGAAGAGTACTCGCGCAATGCAGCGAGATACATCGTGTTTTTAATATTTCATTTTATTCTTTATCTCAGTCGATGTTATAATATGACTTTATGTGATTTTGAGAAAGCGATGATCTTTTTATTTTTGAATAAAATA